CCACTATCGCCACCAGATAGTGGATAAAGGTCGCCAGAAAGTGGCGAATCGGTCGCGTGCACCCACTCCGTCGGCTCGTTTTCGTGGCACGCGTTAGATAAAGTATCGAAACAGGCTATCGACGCAAAAGAAAGAAAAAAATAAAGGAAGCCAATGAATTGCCGGCGAGCATGAACGCGGATGGAAATACCTGCCTTTTCACCGCACGCGATACAAGTGACGGAAAATCGTTGCCGAGGATCGCTGGGAAACACTGTGTGCACGAAGGATTGCACACGACCGCTTATAGAATCTCCGTATCGATTCACGGACGTGTCGCTTTCTTGAAATTGTTTCGCGGAACGCGACGCAGTAATTTCGCAGGGAAGAACGATAAAGCCGCGTTTCATCGATTGAACAAGTTTCTTTCAACCCCTTGTCCTGTGATACGAACGTCACACTTGATGGAAGAAATGGTGTTCCAAATATAATCGAAGTGAAATTAAGTTTGATATAATCTTGCGGTAATTATGACAATAGTTTCAGTGAAATTTTAATAACGATCGACGGAAGTCTGTGGTTTTGGAACGAAAGCATTCCAAATTTCATTTTCTATCGTTCCAAGCACGATAGAAAAAGATCTCTATTTTCCTGGTGAAATTGATCGAGAATTTTAATTTTAATTAATAATTTATTTGTCAAACGCGTTATTACTCAAATAACAGAGCGAACAGCGAATAAATTAAAAATTTTCAAATAAAATAAAGTAAAATTAATGAAATTAATAAAATGAATAAAAATTCAAAGTTTATTTCGACAGCGCGGAGACTTAATCTCGACCTAATACTGCCATTAATAGGGCGCCGTTGAAAGAATCACAAGGCAAGGGGTTCAATTCCTCCTCAAACTTCCATCATTCCCGCGCAATTTGCAAAATGAATAAATTAACGTCGTTCTCCCAAGAAATTGAAAAAAAAAGGAGAATAATTGCGTGAACGCCCAGCAGATCCGCTCGACGATCTTCCGAGACACATCTCCGACGTGTCCCGACGGGGTGGAAAGAAAATACAGCAGCGTCTTACCCTACTTTATCTCTCCCACGGCCCGTAGTAACTGCGTAACGTGCACGGGGAGCCGTTTGATGGAGAAATATTCGACGCCACGCACGCTGGCCATAAAACGTTCGAGGAACGGGAGGGTCCGACGCGGTACGGCGTTCCTGAACCCGAACAGGAAGAATGTTCATTGACGTTACAGGCTTACGAGGTCCTGGCGAAGTGGCATCTCACCGGCCCACGGAAAGACAAATGTTCTCTGAAGGTACCATCCGCTCCACGTTTTCGATCCCCCTTCTGTAATTTTACTTGCAAAGTACTTCCCTTCTACTGCTCGAGGTTTCCTCGTGGAAGATTATTTGGAAAGAAAATTCGATACCCTTTTGCACGTGCCATTATTGCTCGATACTGCGATCGAAATTTCGTTCGTGAAAGAAATATTAACCCCCTGCCGCATGGCAACCGGTCAGACTCGTGGCACAGATTTTGGTCAAGATCTGAGAAAAATAATTATATCGGTAAGAAAAATTAAGTTTCATTCGAATTTTTGGTTTTATTTGTAAAACTGAAGATTGGAAAATTTAATTAATTTATGATACGTTTGCTTTTTTCATTCGATGTAGGACTAAAATAGTAAATAATTGAGGCTTAGATGCGTAGGCAGGAAAAGAAATCATACGTCAAGGGGCTAATGGTGGAACAAGTGAACTCGTGAAAATGAGGGATTTAAGATTTTTTAGTTTGATTTGGGGAAAGTGCTGCGATGCTTTTGTCGAAGTGTATGGTGACTTTTGTTAAAGTAGAGAAGTAATTAAGCGAGCTGATTTATTTTGCGTCAATTATTCTAATTTCGAACGTTCTTTATATGTTAGGTCGTCCAATAAGTTCGCGCCATTTCTTCTTTCGTTGCCTCTTGCTCCACAGCTTCTTCCCATCTTTTTGCCAAAGCCACAAAATTCCTTCAGTTTTTCATTAAAATATTTTTCAACCTTACTTTCTATAGAGTCCATATCGTCAAGTTTTTGCCCAGTAGAAAATGTTGCAATACACGAAACAGATGGTAATCTGGCGAGGCAATGTTTGGAGAATATGGCGAGTGTGACCAAGCTTCCCAACCAAATTCACTGAATTTTCTTTGCATCTTTTGTGCCACATGTGGTCTAGCATTATAATTTTCGCTTTCAGAATCCTGAACATTTCACTGCTATTCCTTCTCCCAACTTTCCCAACCGAGCACAGTACACGTCTGTATGAATGGTCCCATTTCTCGAAACTAAATCGAATAGTACACTTATCGTTCTTATTGGACTACCTAAATATACCAGAAAAAAAATACACCACATTGAACTCCTGTTGTTCTAGTATTCTACGATACAGTTCGATCTCTCTCTCCGCAAGCATTTAATTGAACAAACTAAACCCAGAAGTAATTGCACCGAATACGATAGCCATTGTGTAAAGGAAGCTCATCTCGATGGAAACTCGAGTTCAGACCTTCCAAGGGGAGTACTGTTTCGTGCACTTGGAAGGTGTATCGAGAGTAGCGAGCGTTCCGTGGGTCCAGGCGAACGTATCCGGTGCAAGAAGCTTCCACGTCGAATATCTTGTTACCGCGTCAACAAGAAGCGTCGCGTTAAGCCCTTACCTAAGACTTGGAAACAACAGGACTAAGCTGCTAAGTACATAAGTCCTGAAAGACTACTTTATTTCTCTCTCTCTCTCTCTCTGATCAGATATCGATCGAAGCTTAATTAAGCAACGACGGAGGAAGAAATACGGGATGGGGAAGAAGGCTCGCTCGCGGAAACGGGATTTTTCCGCGCCGTTCGATCCCGTGGGGAGCCGCGAGACTGACATCTCCTAGTTTTAATTAAAGCCGGCACGGCCGGAGTCGCGGCTAAGGCAATTAACTCGAAGACAAACGGCCGCGTCGATTGAATTTCCTAGCTTTCGTAATTAGTTTCTCTAACGTAACTAAAAAGGCACGCCTTCTTCCGCAGATTGTAAAGGAGTAGCAGGGAAACAAGCTGAAGAAAAAAAGAGAAGAAGGGAAAAATTTTTAGGAGCTCGTGTAACAAACCTCTCGATGAGTAAAGTGCACGCGAAGTTTCGTTTCACTTCCGCGAACAAACGAAGAACGATCCTCCTTACAATTGTGCACCGACGACGACGTCGTCGTCGTAGTCACCAATCTCCGTGGCCGTTTCCTGGGGAAAAAGTAGCACGGTCGGTCGGGCCACTGTAGGGGTGAAATTTTAATTCGCTCAATAGACATTACTACAATACAGTAGATTTTAACAGAATTCAGCAGATTTCAATAGATTTCAATTTTCGCTACATTTCAGCACAGTTCGATAAATTCAAGTTTACTATCCTCTAAATTTCAATACTCTTCTCATTCAGCAAATGTCCCAACACTCACCAACACGAGCGTACATCTTTCCATGACCTAATCTGATTACCAACACACTCTCAACGAGCGCCATAGAGCTACAGACGTTCAATTATCCTTACACGATCAATCGGCAATCTTTCAATTTGCTTCATCGTTTTGTCGATACTTGACGCTCCCTATGTATCATGTACTCGATCGTACATATCTTACAGGTTTCGTTCGATGTTATCGATTCACCTTTTTCGTACAGAAGAAGGGGGGAATCGCACAGGGGCGACAACGGACCCTTCTACCGAGATCAATACCAAGGGCGTTGCTCTCTGGCGCACGTACAACGAATAACTCAAAGTACAGCATCGTGTCGCAGGCTGTCGGTATAATGGACACTTTTCAGAAATATGTTATGTAATCACGCAGAGATACGCCTACTAGCTGTGTTGAAAAATCACACAGAAAGATAGCACTCCTTAGCCAGATTATCAAACTCGTAAAAACATCAAACCGAGAGAAAGAGAGAGAGAGAGAGAGAGCGATAACCTGCGCTAAATATAACCATAGAAACCCGGCGTGATACTTTCTTCCGAAGGAAAACTAGAAGGAAACGTATCGTGTCGTGTGTTTTCCCGTTCGAGTGACCCAAGTGCTCTCGCACCTGTCGCCTTTTTCCTTACGAGTTTTCGCGAACCAGGTCGGCGAGATACGAGAAACTCGGCAAAATTCTCCTCTTCCTGAAAATAACTACGCGTCTACGTATCGTGCAACGAATTACGAACGTTCAAAACACACGTTTCACCTTGCCTACGGTACGACAACAAATAGTTCTATCACTAGATCCAATTGTCGGTGAATTCTACAGATCTACGAAATTGAAGCTGTTACCAGTCGTGTAGCGTATTATGAAATGTAACGCGATAAATTGACGCGATATAGTTACCCAGAGCCATTTCCAAGGACGCAGAAACCACTCAGATAAACGACGAAACAGCGGCAAACGGTCGCGAGAGGGACTGAAAAAGCGGTTATATGTCTGCCGGCCGACGATCAACTGACTCCTGATGTGGGCTGAACGAGCACGCGACCGCACCGCGTCTTTACTTCGCGACTGTAAGACACCGTTTTTATCTATCCACGCTTCTTACGTTCAACTGCCTTTCTTCCCCATTGTAGTAAGCACAGTGTCGGTACATTACTCTGCACGCGGCCACGTGTGAACAGCTATCGAACTACACATAGCGGGGAAGTCCAGAAAACTGGCACGATAGCCTCTCCTCCGCTGTTCACATGCGCCTCTCGGACCAACCACATACCATTTTCGAGCCTTTCAACCTCGACGCGGGTATATCTTGATTTTTGAACGGACTCTGGTCGAAGTTGAAGTATTACGTTAAGAAGGTTTCGGTATTAAGGCTGGACAACGTTTGAAGTAGTGGGAAATTCGTGGATTTAACGGTTTTATGATTATTCGTACTATTGGAAGTTTTAGAGTTATTCGTTTTTGTTTCAAGGTCACTTTGTTTGGTATGATTACCGGCTACGATAAGGAGGAGGTAATTAGGTCGAGAATCAGAGTGAAGAATTATGGGTAGGATACTTCGGTTTTTAACAGTATTTGAAGAGATTTATTTCTTTTCGTTGCCATGGAAGATATGGAGTGAAGGTAGAGTTGTAGAATATATCGTTCTGCTTCGGAAGTTTTATATATTTTTTAGTAGGATAATCGTTTGTTTCTTCTTTAGTTTCTTCTGATGCATGAGTCTCTCGTTGCGAAGAATGCAGAACGTTTTAAAAAACGCGCCACAAGTATTACCCATATAATGAATCATGACGTAAGCAAATATCAACTGTCATGTGCGAAAGATAGTCGCAGAGGAGTTTCGTTTTAATTCCTACGAATTGCGTCTGATTAAGTGTGATAATTTGTTGCTTGGTTGTTCAGAAATACGATTTCATTGCACGGAAAGGAAAATAATAGTGATTTTAAGGTTAACGCGAAGAAAGAGCACGATCGTTTCTTCATTCGCGCCACCTCAGTGACAAAGGTAGGTTCCAAAAATTGTTGATTTTACAAAATTTGAATGTTGGTCATGCCACAATTTTTATATCTTTTATTTGTTTCAAGATCATTCTGTAAACATAAATGATGAATTTACAAATGTTTCCGTTGCTACTTTAAGGTTAGCAGCTATGACGTTTTACTTTTTGACATACACCTTTTTTTCCCCTGTGTTGTTTTATAAACTAGCTAGTTCTCTTGACAATATTTTCAAGCTCTTTGTGTGTCATTTATCCGCCGATACGATAACACCTTCTGCATACTTTGTTATTTCCAGTGCTACTCAGAATCATAACAGATAAGATAATCTTGTTACAAACAGAATTGTATCATTTGCCAAGCAGATATCTGTAGGTTAACAACTAGACACATGCTAGTCCTTAAATCAGAAGGAACGTAAATTAAAGTTAATGTTTGATTGTTTCTGTTTTTTTCAGCAATCATGTCTATTCTATATACCGTGGTAGCTAGAGGAACAACGGTGCTTTCAGAATATGCTTCTTGCGTTGGGAACTTTCACGAGGTGACAGAAAATGTTCTGCTGCAAATACCACCTGAAAATAATAAGCTGACATATACGCAAAACAATTTCCTTTTTCATTACATCTGCGAAGATGGCTATGTTTTTATGTGTGTCACAGATAGTGTAAGTAGTAAGAAATATACAAGACTGTTTGAAAAGTAGTTAATATATCTATTATTTTACAGGAGTATCAAAGGTCCAGAGCATTTTTGTACCTTACAGAAATTCAAAGAAGGTTTTTGTCTGCCTATGGCCAAGATGTACATACCGCAGTACCATATGCGATAAATACTGATTTTGGTAGAACTTTAGCTAGTACAATGGTAAGAAACGAATTTACCGAACTCTTACATGTGCACACATACACATATGAGCTCTCATTTTGTATATAGAAACATTACAACGACTCCAACCAAGATATTGAAACGCTAGCTACTGTTCTTAGCGACTTCGACGAATTAAAAGACATAATGGGCAAAAATATCGATAGCGTTGCAGCGCGCGGAGTGAAATTAGATCTCCTCGTGAATAAGACTGAAAATTTATCCGTCAATGTAAGTTAGATTACGGCTGCCTTGCACCATAAAAGGAACCTAGAAGCACAACTAATTCTTCCATGTTTTCAGTCGTATACGTTTAGAAATAGGAGCAGAAATTTGTCTCGCTCGATGTTCTGGAAGAACGTTAAAATCTACGTGATTGTTGCCGTCATCTTGATTGTAAGTATCGGCATTACGATTCGATCTGTTCAATTCTATCGAATGCAAACAATTTTATGAATCTCGCAGGTTGTGATATACATTATTGTATCCTTATCTTGCGGAGGCTTGGCTTGGCCAAAATGCGTCGGAAATTAATTCATCGCGAAGACCTAATCGCGCTATTGAAATCGTACTTGAAAGAAACGAAAAGGCACACATGGTGCGGATCTTGTTTCTTGGTTCGCTGTGTACACGATGAACTAATAGTGTTCAGTTCTGTGGCTTTACCAAAACAAACATAATATAGGAATAAAGAAACAATACAATTAGGAGAATGGATACATATAAATATGTATAACTATTACATTATTTTTACTATATTACCGAAAGAAAAAAAAAAAGCAAAAAAATAAAAATATCAGTGTCGTTTATATTTCTCAAGCGGCGAATATAATTTTAACATCACCCGTATATATTGTATCATAACTACACATTCTGTGAATAAAAAGAAGAGGAAGAATAAACAAATAAACTAACTCTAGTACTGAAATTTGTGATTTATTTATGCGTTTCCGGGGTCACATACTCCTCGGGTGCAACAAGTGAAGGTCGACACGCACCGCTCGTATTTCTTCTCGCACAGAGTGGTTCCCTTAAATTGAAAATCCTATGATCGAGTAGGGCTATTTCATTTCTAATCTAGATAAAATTACGATAAAAATTTATCGATTATTCAGTCTCTTCCGGGCCATTAAATGCATCACATTTTTTCCACACGGAAGCCTCCGAACGGCACACTGTTTCCCTAGCAGTGCCAGCCTTAGGGCGCATGCTCCGATTCATTTTTTCTCCTCCAATGACCTGTGACTAGTCCCAGCGAAACCCTGCGCAAACTTAATTCAAATAATTATTCTCCTAATCGAATCATTCTCCTATTCGCTACTTCGTACAATTTTCCAACCTTCTACATTACACACACCGAAATAAATCAAATGCATCTATACATTAAACCTGCATGTCTATCAATCATTCATCAAAACGCTAATCCCATTTTTCCCCAGTCAGGCTAGTTAAACAAATTCTGCTCCGTGTATCCATTAATTATCCCAACTATTGCAGAAATCTGTTATACCAATATTTACAATTTTTTCCTCACTCCTACCATTTATATTTCCAATGCACAACAATGGCGATGTAACGACGATTACTACAAGAATCCCTGAAACAAGGCTAGAAAATGTTTACATATTTGGGAAATGTGGCTGGAAGAGGTGCCTAACGAATTGGAACGAGGGTGTAGATACGGTCCTGGGTGTGCTGCAACGACGTCGCCGGCGTGGGACGGGTGGCGGCGTCGCAGGCGCTGTGGTCGCGACGCCCGGGCCATCGCAGCAGCCCGGCGGCTCTGGCAGCAGGATGTCGATGGCTCGCGTGGCGCGCCCTTCGGGGGGTGCCAAAGAGTGTCGTCTCGGTGGCTGGTCTCGGCGCCACGATTGATCGCACATCGTCCCCGAATCCGCGCTTCAGAAAACACTTTCGATCGCGCGAGCTGGCACAAGGTCGCTCAACAAGTTTCGCCGCCGGTGGCGGCCGGTCGCCCCGCGACTAAATTAAACATCGAATGGTGAAAGAATAAACACGATCTGTACAAGGTGGTTGGTGGTTTGTTAGTTTACACGCGGGCAACGATCGTGCGTTGAGCGAAGCGTGGGTGAATCCGCGTGCAACTACTCGACTGTGTTCGAGGTCAAAGGGGGTAGTAATACGCACACGCACACATACAGACGGGTGGTACGGGTTGAATGCAGATTTTGAACCACTCGTAATCCTCGTTCACCCGCGATCTCTCTACCCCTGGCCGCGGTTGTTGATCAGCAGCCTCTGATCGCGTGTGTCAGTGGTGTGTGGTTTGGTGCGGTTCGACACCGTTTCGCGGCCGGCCATGGAACCGCGGAGGTTCCGGATGCCGGAGGCTAGCTGACGAGTCCGCTGGCGCGATCGGATGTCCGCGCGGGAGGGTAGGAGGGACTACGAGCCGTTGGATGAAAGTGAAAACGAATCGGACCGCGAAACGGGGGGATGAGACGAGGATACGCTGCATGGAGAACGGACGACCGTGTGAGATACAGACCTCGTAAGTGGATTACCTCTGTGTCTCCCTGTTTTTCATTTTTTTTTCCTGTGTTTTTCTTTTTGTATTCACATTTTAGCGTTACTGTTCTGCTACCGCTATGACTGTCGCTGCTGATATTTATTCGCGTGCCGCGTGTAGCGCGAGATATCATTGATATAATTGAGCTAGTTGTTTTATATTTTTTGCACGAGATATTGTTGATAGTTGGTACTACTCGAAGGGACAAGTGGTAGATGTTTGTTACAAGAGTTCAATTTCGAATTTAAGATTCGAGATAGCGAGTCGAGTGAATGTGTTTGAAAGGGTTTGAATCAGTTCAGCGAGATCTCGGTCTAATTAAATTCACCGTCGACCACTATCGCCACCAGATAGTGGATAAAGGTCGCCAGAAAGTGGCGAATCGGTCGCGTGCACCCACTCCGTCGGCTCGTTTTCGTGGCACGCGTTAGATAAAGTATCGAAACAGGCTATCGACGCAAAAGAAAGAAAAAAATAAAGGAAGCCAATGAATTGCCGGCGAGCATGAACGCGGATGGAAATACCTGCCTTTTCACCGCACGCGATACAAGTGACGGAAAATCGTTGCCGAGGATCGCTGGGAAACACTGTGTGCACGAAGGATTGCACACGACCGCTTATAGAATCTCCGTATCGATTCACGGACGTGTCGCTTTCTTGAAATTGTTTCGCGGAACGCGACGCAGTAATTTCGCAGGGAAGAACGATAAAGCCGCGTTTCATCGATTGAACAAGTTTCTTTCAACCCCTTGTCCTGTGATACGAACGTCACACTTGATGGAAGAAATGGTGTTCCAAATATAATCGAAGTGAAATTAAGTTTGATATAATCTTGCGGTAATTATGACAATAGTTTCAGTGAAATTTTAATAACGATCGACGGAAGTCTGTGGTTTTGGAACGAAAGCATTCCAAATTTTATTTTCTATCGTTCCAAGCACGATAGAAAAAGATCTCTATTTTCCTGGTGAAATTGATCGAGAATTTTAATTTTAATTAATAATTTATTTGTCAAACGCGTTATTACTCAAATAACAGAGCGAACAGCGAATAAATTAAAAATTTTCAAATAAAATAAAGTAAAATTAATGAAATTAATAAAATGAATAAAAATTCAAAGTTTATTTCGACAGCGCGGAGACTTAATCTCGACCTAATACTGCCATTAATAGGGCGCCGTTGAAAGAATCACAAGGCAAGGGGTTCAATTCCTCCTCAAACTTCCATCATTCCCGCGCAATTTGCAAAATGAATAAATTAACGTCGTTCTCCCAAGAAATTGAAAAAAAAAGGAGAATAATTGCGTGAACGCCCAGCAGATCCGCTCGACGATCTTCCGAGACACATCTCCGACGTGTCCCGACGGGGTGGAAAGAAAATACAGCAGCGTCTTACCCTACTTTATCTCTCCCACGGCCCGTAGTAACTGCGTAACGTGCACGGGGAGCCGTTTGATGGAGAAATATTCGACGCCACGCACGCTGGCCATAAAACGTTCGAGGAACGGGAGGGTCCGACGCGGTACGGCGTTCCTGAACCCGAACAGGAAGAATGTTCATTGACGTTACAGGCTTACGAGGTCCTGGCGAAGTGGCATCTCACCGGCCCACGGAAAGACAAATGTTCTCTGAAGGTACCATCCGCTCCACGTTTTCGATCCCCCTTCTGTAATTTTACTTGCAAAGTACTTCCCTTCTACTGCTCGAGGTTTCCTCGTGGAAGATTATTTGGAAAGAAAATTCGATACCCTTTTGCACGTGCCATTATTGCTCGATACTGCGATCGAAATTTCGTTCGTGAAAGAAATATTAACCCCCTGCCGTATGGCAACCGGTCAGACTCGTGGCACAGATTTTGGTCAAGATCTGAGAAAAATAATTATATCGGTAAGAAAAATTAAGTTTCATTCGAATTTTTGGTTTTATTTGTAAAACTGAAGATTGGAAAATTTAATTAATTTATGATACGTTTGCTTTTTTCATTCGATGTAGGACTAAAATAGTAAATAATTGAGGCTTAGATGCGTAGGCAGGAAAAGAAATCATACGTCAAGGGGCTAATGGTGGAACAAGTGAACTCGTGAAAATGAGGGATTTAAGGATTTTTAGTTTGATTTGGGGAAAGTGCTGCGATGCTTTTGTCGAAGTGTATGGTGACTTTTGTTAAAGTAGAGAAGTAATTAAGCGAGCTGATTTATTTTGCGTCAATTATTCTAATTTCGAACGTTCTTTATATGTTAGGTCGTCCAATAAGTTCGCGCCATTTCTTCTTTCGTTGCCTCTTGCTCCACAGCTTCTTCCCATCTTTTTGCCAAAGCCACAAAATTCCTTCAGTTTTTCATTAAAATATTTTTCAACCTTACTTTCTATAGAGTCCATATCGTCAAGTTTTTGCCCAGTAGAAAATGTTGCAATACACGAAACAGATGGTAATCTGGCGAGGCAATGTTTGGAGAATATGGCGAGTGTGACCAAGCTTCCCAACCAAATTCACTGAATTTTCTTTGCATCTTTTGTGCCACATGTGGTCTAGCATTATAATTTTCGCTTTCAGAATCCTGAACATTTCACTGCTATTCCTTCTCCCAACTTTCCCAACCGAGCACAGTACACGTCTGTATGAATGGTCCCATTTCTCGAAACTAAATCGAATAGTACACTTATCGTTCTTATTGGACTACCTAAATATACCAGAAAAAAAATACACCACATTGAACTCCTGTTGTTCTAGTATTCTACGATACAGTTCGATCTCTCTCTCCGCAAGCATTTAATTGAACAAACTAAACCCAGAAGTAATTGCACCGAATACGATAGCCATTGTGTAAAGGAAGCTCATCTCGATGGAAACTCGAGTTCAGACCTTCCAAGGGGAGTACTGTTTCGTGCACTTGGAAGGTGTATCGAGAGTAGCGAGCGTTCCGTGGGTCCAGGCGAACGTATCCGGTGCAAGAAGCTTCCACGTCGAATATCTTGTTACCGCGTCAACAAGAAGCGTCGCGTTAAGCCCTTACCTAAGACTTGGAAACAACAGGACTAAGCTGCTAAGTACATAAGTCCTGAAAGACTACTTTCTTTCTCTCTCTCTCTCTCTCTCTGATCAGATATCGATCGAAGCTTAATTAAGCAACGACGGAGGAAGAAATACGGGATGGGGAAGAAGGCTCGCTCGCGGAAACGGGATTTTTCCGCGCCGTTCGATCCCGTGGGGAGCCGCGAGACTGACATCTCCTAGTTTTAATTAAAGCCGGCACGGCCGGAGTCGCGGCTAAGGCAATTAACTCGAAGACAAACGGCCGCGTCGATTGAATTTCCTAGCTTTCGTAATTAGTTTCTCTAACGTAACTAAAAAGGCACGCCTTCTTCCGCAGATTGTAAAGGAGTAGCAGGGAAACAAGCTGAAGAAAAAAAGAGAAGAAGGGAAAAATTTTTAGGAGCTCGTGTAACAAACCTCTCGATGAGTAAAGTGCACGCGAAGTTTCGTTTCACTTCCGCGAACAAACGAAGAACGATCCTCCTTACAATTGTGCACCGACGACGACGTCGTCGTCGTAGTCACCAATCTCCGTGGCCGTTTCCTGGGGAAAAAGTAGCACGGTCGGTCGGGCCACTGTAGGGGTGAAATTTTAATTCGCGCGGACGTTTGATATTCAGAGATCCCTGACTCCGGTATTCACGGTCTCACGTACGACCACTCTTCGGCGCCACTCCTTTTCACCGAGGTATTTTTGTTTCACGCCAACGACCAACGAACCAACTCTTGTTCTCTCGCGTGCTCGTTCGCGGAACGACCGAGAGCGACAGAGGGAGGAACGGAGAGTGAGAGTGATAGAGAGAAAAAGAGAGACCGAGAGAAGTAGAGAGAGAGGGTTGGAAAAAAGCGCGGGAGATGATAGAACGAGACGACGATCTGTCATTCAAGGACGATTCTTTCAGGCTGCAAACTCGCTGGATTGTGTGTGCAGGGCCACCCTCTTTAGAATTCCCCGTCCGTGGAGCAAGAAGCTCGTAAAAGACAAAGGGGGTTGGTAGCAGAGGGGTGGAGTAGAAGGGAACGTAGAGACACGCAGGCGAGAGGAACGGAAGGGAGACAGGAAGGGACGTGGAGGAGCGAGAAAGGAGATAAGAAAGATGGGAGAGAGCTCACCGGATCTCAGCCTCCGGCTTCGCCGGGGCAGCTCCGACTCCAGGGATTCCTTCTACATGGACTTCGCTCAGGTACTGAAACCCTCTATCTAGCGTGTACATCGATAATCCTTGATAGATAATTTCGCTGTACTCCGCCTCGGATGTACATGGAAGCGAGGAGAACGGGAAATTTTCTATTAATAAGCTAGTTTCGTTGCCTCTTTGTCGGTTCGGATCTTTCAAAGTGGATAGTCTTGTCGTTAGAGCTTGATCCCAATGATCGACCGATACCCTGCAAAGGAGAAGAAGATGAAGGATCGGATAAATGGAAGCCGCATCGGGGATGAAAGTTTAACGAGCTTGCTTTCTCATCGATACCGAGTCACTTTCAGAGGGAAGCTTGAAATTGTACAGCCTTGGCGAAATGTATCGGGCACGTTTATTATTGCGAAAATTATTTCTTCGAAAGCTTTCTGCTGTTCGCCGGCCTTTGTCGGGTGGATCAAAGGAATTTTATAAGAGTTGACAAGATTTCTGGGGTGACTACGTTTTCTGTTTCTTTATTAATGTTTCGAAAAGTAGAAATTTCTCTTTGAAATATGCCAAAAAGAGTGAACTGGATTAATTCTTTTTCATTGTGAAATATTGGGCAAAGGGTGAGCCAAAACAAAATATCGACAAAATTGATCAAAAATGATAGTCTTCATACTTCAATAGTTTAATTTCCAAAACCATCTAGACAACGAATTAAAAGGCTCAAAAGGGACTGGCCAGAAGTCTTCTCTAGATAAGCTCGGTTAAACCATTGATAGATGGTTTACCTCTCGAGGGAAATTATTACTTATTACGCTAATTAAACCTTTTAGCTACTGTGCGCCACTATAGTGGCTCACTGCGTCTCTGTTTCAAAGTATATCATACACAGTTTTATTATTAATTATTATTATTATTCTAATATAATTACACAGTGGACAACACTAGACACAAATCGCAGTGCTATGTTGTTTACGCGCAGTCCGCGTCGCGAACATTACCGTACAGAGATTCAGCTCCGCGGAAAGTCCTGCCGTAGCTAAAAGATGAACAAAAATAGAGTAGATTCTAAATATGCCAAAAAATAGTTTAATGTCCTATACAGATATTCCTTCGAAGTCACTCTGTACGCTTTCCTACCTTCGTCCTCAAAAAAAAAGAGAAAAAGAAAAAAGCAAAAAAGGTTCAAATGACCAAAAAAGAATTGACGTAAACAGGGCATCGACTCGGACATCGAGGAGGTGACGAGGCCGGGGGACAACAATTCTGACCCTATGATGGAGAACCATTTAGAGGAGAATGGAAACGAGCTGCCGCTGATCGAGGACATCACCACGATCCCGGAGGAGGCGTCGGAGGAGCTTCGCGAGGAGGAGGAGGCAGCTGCGTTGGAGGCCGCGATGCGAACACCCGAGGGCCCCATAATTAACACGGAAGCGGAGAAACCGTTGCAGCAACCACCGCCCCAGCTCTCCACGCTCGCTCCGCAAGAGTAAGTATGCGCTCCCGGAAATCCTGCGGTACGGAATTACGCGCGTCTCCTTACCGGCGCGGCGCGGGGGTAACTTAATCCGCGCCGTTTTAATTGGAATTCCTTGTTTTTCCCGTTTTCGTTGCCGGCGATCTTCTCTCGTACCGGCTTCGTTCGGGCTGCTTCGGGGTATTTGTGGTTTTGGATGAAAGGGTGTTCGGTTTCGTTACCTTGGAACGAAGGGACGAGCAAGTGGTGCGGGTAAATGATAGCGAACGACACGTCAGAAGACGCTCTGTCTGCTGGAATTTGCGTGAGGCTGGAGTACTCTCTCTCTCTGGAGAGACTCTCACTAATTTTCGGACAATATTTGGAACGGTGTAACCTTTTTTTGAAATCGGACCTAAGGACTTGAGTTCTTTTCAGAAGTTAGAAAATATTTGGAAGAAATTGCAATTTGTGGAAATCGCGGAGAAAATTGTAAAGATCACTTTTAACAACCTGTTTATCTGAACCTGTAATGAAAATTTAAAAAATTGCGAGCTCAAAATTTTCATTACGAGATCAGACAAAAAAGTTGGAAACAGTGACCTTTACAATTTTCTTCGCGATTCCTGCAAATTGCAATTTTTTCCAAATTTCTTGCACACGTCATCTAGTACAGTAATCCTTCTAACTTCTCAAAGAAAACTCAAGTCGTTTGGTTCAATTTTGAAAAAGTTATAATGTTCCAAATAGTGTCCGAATATTAGTGGGAGTCGCATATATACACATCTACATGCAATACGTCGTACAAAATGCACAGTTTGAGTATTCAAGGAATATTAAGTGTGTATAAATGCAGACATCCATCGCATTACGTAAAACTGATAAAAGTGTAGATATCAAGAATGTAAATGAAAATAATTCGAAGAATAAGGGAGGATGCTGCAAGAGAACTGTGATAGCGAACGTGTTAAAGTTGTTTCGAGGTGATATTTAGTTCTTATCAATGACATATAGTCAGTGAAGAGGACTGAATCGCTGCGGCAGTGTTTGAAGCTTGAGGTCTGAATACCACTTGTATCAAGCCCAAGCGAAAGTAAGATTTTATAGTCGTGAAAAATAATAACAAATTCAACTCCCTCACAATCTGTCTAGTGAAATCTGCCGCTTACGCATAGCGATTAACCAATAGAAAACGATCATTGTTTATGAAAACGCAGGCATAGCCACGAGCTAGAAATTCAATTAATAAGAAGGCAACATTTCGAAGAGAAAATCACCGATTTTGATGAAACTTTGGTATAGAATAGTTTTCAAAAAAATATTCGACGCGTGTTTTTTTATATTGGTAATTGTCCACAGTAAAGGGGTGAAAATTGTCCTCAAAATTAGAAGGGAATATCTCGAAGCGAAAATCACCGATTTTGAAGAAACTTTGGTATACATATAGCAGTTCTGAAAAAAATATTCGACACGTATTTTTTTATATTGGCAATTGTCCACAGTGAAGGGGTGAAAATCGTCCTCAAAATTAGAAGGGAATATCTCGAAGCGAAAATCACCGATTTTGAAGAAACTTTGGTATAGAATAGTTTTCAAAAAAATATTCGACACGTATTTTTTTATATGGGCAATCGTCCACAGTAAAGGGGTGAAAATCGTCCTCAAAATTAGAAGGGAATATCTCGAAGCGAAAATCACCGATTTCGAAGAAACTTTGGTATACATATGTATAGTGGGTCTCAGAAAAATCTTGGACACGAATTTTTTTACATCGATAATCGTCCACAATGAAAGGGTGAAAATCGCCCTGAAAGTTTCAAGGTTGGAGGCAGTAAATATATTTAGTCTAATATCTCGAAAACTGTTAAACATAGAGGAGTACTGCAAAGTGCCGGATTTTTGTATTTTCCGACGACAAATTTGCAAAATAAAAAACAATAAATAATTTCGACCAAAAATTTGTTTATTACTCTCATCTTTGAGAGCGATAGAGATAGAGAAATAGTATAAATTGAGGAATTTTCTGTTTTTCATCAAGAAATTTGAAAATAAAGAATAAATAATTTTGCCCAAAAATTTTTTTCTTACCCTCATCCTTGAGGACGATTTTCATCCCTTCAACGTGGACGATTGCCTATATAAAAAGAGACCTACTATACACTAAAGCTTCATAAAGGTCGGTGCTTATCACTTTAGAATGTCCCCTCGTTACTGATCAATTTCACCATAGCTACCGCCCGTACATTGTCGCGAACGAGCATAAACAAAACTTCCAATGAATTGTCATACATCGCAACAAAACACCACATTATCCTTCATCTCTACGTCAAACCTCACATTCCACGTTCATAAGACAGAATTCTCCCCGATATTTCCACGTACACTGCAACTTCATTGCACGCTTTCTACACGCACAAATCTCCATAACGCATTCGCATCTCGCGAGACACTCAGACGGAAGAAGGACGTCGTTGAAAAACGGTGAAAACGTTTTCACTGGGAAAGATCGCGGCGAAGAAACCGCAAGGAGTGACCTGGGCGACGATTAACGCCAGTCTCGGTTTCCTCCACTCACTCTCGCTCGCCAGCAATATTCCCGGTCATTAACGAATCCTCCCCATACGTCTCGCTCCGACCAGGCTTTTCCCCGCGGATTTGCGTCTCGCGGAGACTCGACTGCAGCAAGGAGGGAGGAAAAAGAACGGTCGGTTAAGTAGGTAAACAAAATCACCGGTGTCGCGGTGAACAAAACGCGGGAAAACGGAGGTGGAAGAAAAAAAGAGGGAAATATTTCCAGCACGTCTGGAATCTTGAGGTGGCGTATAATTGCGGGAACTCAGCAACAAGCGTGACTACCGATGGAAATGTTAACGCGATGACGCGACCACCTCGTCGCAGGAAGTCTGAATTACGTCTTCGACGGTTTGGTTGGCCGGGTGCGAGGGAAATCGCTGATTTCTCGAATAGTTTCTAATCGTTTCCGTTCCACATCGACGTACATCTACCACTTCTGTTAGAGAAAAAGATTTTTCTAAATTGGCTGTAGAAATGAATTGTTTCCGACTTTTGGGTAGAATCGAAGCTTCGTTTAACCCTTTCATTACTATCGGCGCCTATAGGCGTTTTGAAAATTTGCTCGCACTATACTGTTAGAGCCTTTTGGAACACTTTCACCTTAATTTAATGCATAATTTTATCCATCACGCACTTCCGTCTTAATTTAATAAACCGAACTTTAAAACAACACGGCCGAAATAAGAAATTTCGCAGTCGTGGTTAAAAATTTACCGTGTCACCCACGTTACGCATTCAAATAGCGAAAGGGTTAAAAAGAACAACAAGAGAACAATCATCGAAATAATTTCCATTATTCTTGATGCCTTTTTACCATTTTTCTGGCAGCTTGAGAATACCATCGCGATGCAAACTCGATGGCTTTGAATCAATTTCCTTATATCGAATGTTACCAAAGAGCCTGTCAGCTGTTTTTCAACAGTTTCGCAAGTGTACCTTGCATTTCAGCATTTAGGTCCGAATTTGGCAAAATGTCACTTGCACCGTTGTCCCTTTAACCCTCTGAATTCTACGAATCCAGCAGGGAAGAATTCATCTCTGCGCCTGATATTTAAATTCGTCGAGAGAGTTGAACGTGAATTATTTCTCGCTTTGTAGGTCCATGCTTAACGTTACAACGTAAATTACCGTTCCCCTCCCTAAACGGCCATGTTTCTCCTCGTCTCTTCATTCGACTGACCACCGTGCCACTATTCACAGCCATGGAACATTACTCACTGTCCACGATTAACGTGCATCCCTCCGTTGTATCCAGCAGAGAAGCGACGCCGGTCCGTAACACCGTGTCGACGATTGAACTTGATCGTGAAAAATCGTTTCGCGAGCGTCTCCACTTTACTCCATCAATTTCCACTCGAGTCTACTCGAGCCGGGCTGCCCTCCTAGAATCACCGGGGAATATATATATATACACGAGGTTCCTCGTTAATCCTCTCCTCCGAATCGAGCAAAGTCGTTCACGAGTAGCAAACGGTCCGCGAAAAGGGGCGAGTTCGGTACAAAACGGAGCGAGCTTTTGATCAAAGCGAAACACTGACCCCAATCTGCGAAATTGCCGCTTCTGCCGGATTCAATCTGCGAGTCACCAAGAAACGAGGTGTCAAAGGCGTATCTAGCTACCGGCTGAACGTGTACTCGTTCCGTCCTTATTTGCGAATGTCAACGCGGCCACCGCAATAGTGGTCGACTTGTGACCTAGCGTTCGGTGCATCGACGGTTCTATTGAAAATTACGAAAATTTTCTTGAGTAGAATATTAGGAAGAATTATGAAAATTTTGTTCAATAGAAAATTGCGAAAAATTACTTCAGTAGGAAGTTATGAAGGATTAGGAAAACTTCTTTCAGTAGAAAATTACGAAAAATTAAGAAAATTTGGTTCAGTAGAGAATTAGGAAGAATTACGAAAATTTGCTTCGGTAGAAAACTAGGAAGGATTACGAAAATTTTCTTGAGTAGAATATTAGGAAGAATTATGAAAATTTTGTTCAATAGAAAATTGCGAAAAATTACTTCAGTAGGAAGTTATGAAGGATTAGGAAAACTTCTTTCAGTAGAAAATTACGAAAAATTAAGAAAATTTGGTTCAGTAGAGAATTAGGAAGAATTACGAAAATTTGCTTCGGTAGAAAACTAGGAAGGATTACGAAAATTTTCTTGAGTAGAATATTAGGAAGAATTATGAAAATTTTGTTCAATAGAAAATTGCGAAAAATTACTTCAGTAGGAAGTTATGAAGGATTAGGAAAACTTCTTTCAGTAGAAAATTACGAAAAATTAGGAAAATTTGGTTCAGTAGAGAATTAGGAAGAATTACGAAAATTTTCTTCGGTAGAAAACTAGGAAGTATTACGAAAATTTTCTTGAGTAGAATATTAGGAAGAATTATGAAAATTTTGTTCAATAGAAAATTGCGAAAAATTACTTCAGTAGGAAGTTATGAAGGATTAGGAAAACTTCT